GGAATGTAACTTGTATATGAGTTGKCCCTTCCTTGACAACAAATAAATAATAACTAATTAACTAATTATAACTTAATAAACTATCACCACCTGAACTAAGTACTTTTAAGCATTTAAAAATGCAAACAATTAGAAAATAATCATACCTTACTTGACTTTATCTTGACTTTCTCTTGCTTGTTCTTACTTGCTGAATCTGGGATGGAATTATGTGATATTTAGAGAGTTTTAGCATCACGTTGACGGCAAACGGCTAACGGCAGAGCTGAACCAATGACCTAAAAATTTCGTGCCCGACCTTGTGTTTTTGGTAGTCATTTAAAAGAGCAGCTTTTCACGATTATGGAAATCTCAAAATAACCCGCTCTCGCGTTGAAACTACAACGTTAAACTAAAAAGAAAACAGGTCACGTGATCTTTTCTGCCGTTTGGCGTTTGCCGTGAACGTCATGCTAAACCTCTCTAATATTAATATCTACTCTTTAGAGCTATGTGTCAGAATCCGCTTAACTTGAAATCATATATTAGGAGGAACCAACGGGTTCCTGGGAGAAGGCAGTGGCTTAGGCAGTGGCTAACTCGAAAGCAGGCAGTGGCTAACTCGAAAGCTAAGCTCCTTTAGCCACTGCACACTTTCTCCAATAACAAACATGTAATTCCCCATAATTATCTTTAATAGATGAACAATATTCCTTGTAAAATAAGTATATATGTGTGTAAAAATAAAAATTGAATTGAATTGAATTGAGAAACTAATAATACTACTCCATCTTTGTATTCAAAGGTTTGAATATGTTCTTGTATATATTTGTGGCGGTTTCGTGGTTAACTCAGTGGCTAACTCGAAAGCTAAGCTCCTTTAGCCACTGCACACTTTCTCCAATAACAAACATGTAATTCCCCATAATTATCTTTAATAGATGAACAATATTCCTTGTAAAATAAGTATATATGTGTGTAAAAATAAAAATTGAATTGAATTGAATTGAGAAACTAATAATACTACTCCATCTTTGTATTCAAAGGTTTGAATATGTTCTTGTATATATTTGTGGCGGTTTCGTGGTTAACTGCATTCCTTCTTAGTATGAAGCGATTACGAAAAACGGCAAAGGTGAGTACTGAATTTTGCAATAAATCATAGCGTTTTTTATGTAAAAATGTACAATAAGTGCGGAGCCCTTCCGAGAAAAAAGTTCAGAGTCCTTCCCGTTAAGCCCATGCATCGTGCAAGCATCTTCGATCTTTTGCCGCGTCTAATCTAATTATTGGAGTTTAGATTTTGATCATATTAGGAGGGGGTTGAGAATCAAGAGAGGGGGCAACATCTTAACTTTACGTGCTTAAAGAGGGGGGCAACGTCTAAAATTAACTAAAACTTTAATTGGAAACTGAAAAATCAACGGTGTCACATTCGAAAAATTTTCAGGAAAAGTGTGCCACGATTTGCGACAACTCTTTATTCACAAATAATAAATAAATTCACGGGGGAAGTTTCTTTTGTTTGCGAGGGGGGAGGGGGGGAGTAATTAAATATTTTGATTTTTCTGCTCATTTCTCAACCCCCCTCAACCTCCCTTCCTGATAAATATTGAGCAGTCCCTAAGATCGATGTCTTAACCTTACTTACTTTCAATATCATGGATGGATGAGTGTACAGTGTACCACTTAGAGAGAGCATAGTCCTTCATGCTTCGAAATGAACCGATCAGATGGTACAGTCAGGACATAAACGCACAATTTGGATGCCTTCGCTGCCGTTCTTTTTTTAACCATAATTTCTTTTTTTAYATTTTCAGATTTACTTCGTGATTCTTCTCCTTATAATCATCAATCTAATTATCTTTTTCTTTGTGGCCGTGGAGTTAGAAGGATGGGCCGARGGTTTGTCCATGTTATTTACAGTCAAAAATGTAAGTTAATAAACACAGGTTTCACATCCTTTGTATCTGAAAAACGAATAAAAGAACTTTACTAGTCATTCACTACTGGAATGGTTGATACGAAGTGCTCGGAGCACTTTACACTAAAGGGTGCAGAGAGCAGATGGCTGGGGTGGTATTCATTCTATTCCAGGATGAGAACGGAGGCACAAGTGAAGACCGCGCCTCAAGACTTCATGTGCGGGTCAATAATTTCATTCAGGGAGGGAGTGGGGGTGCATGTTACAAATGGGCAAAATAGGCAAAATAGGGGGATGTATTAGTGTGAAATGTTACGAGAATGTGCACACCCGTGCACACCAATTGGATCCACTCCTGGACCCTTTCCTGGACTTCAATGTAAAACGGACGGGCAGAAAGTGAACAATTCAACGGGCCTCAAATCCTCATGTTAAAGCAGGCGCCTAGTACTTTTAGAATACCCTTGCGCACAACTAAACCTTAGAAAAACTTTTAAATAGATCATGAAAAAGAACTACGCGATTGCTAACAGAGTAATGCAAATTGTTTACTTATTAGTCAGCTATTGCGCGAATACAATAGTTGTGCATTTTAAAACAGATGCTGTTCTAGTTCTTTTAAGACCCAAAATGAAATATATCGGCACCCAAACAATCGCGAGAGACATTTAACGTAGTTGTAGATAAAAAAAGCGATCGTGAGAGAGACATTTAACGTAGTTGTAGATAAAAAAAGTGATCCTAATTTCTTCCAGCTTGATCCATTAAAAGACATCAATGTGTGGATGCAAGCGGCTGGACAGATCTTCTTCTCTTTGAGTATTGGTTGGGGCGGACTCATAGTCTTCGCGAGTGGGAGTAAATGGAACAATAACTTCTGCTCAGACGCCCTCTTCGTCTCGATATCAAACTCTGTGACGTCAGTATGGGCTAGCATTATCATGTTTTCTTTCTTTGGATTTCGAATGAAATACCAAGTCAAATCATGTGAGCGTTTGATGGACAGCAACAGCACAAAGGAYATCGGAGAGTTTATGATGAAGGTTAATATAGAAGGAAGTCCWACACCATTAGGACTGATGAGCGGTTCTAGAAACTGCAGTAAAGAGTTCTTCTTCGAGCAGGTACATTTTAATGCAGTGGCTGGGCTGCCTGTGRTTTGCGCCCAAAATATGGCAAACCACAGGCAGCCCAGCCACTGTATGTTATCGTCATCTGTTATCGTTTGTATTTTTAAGGTAATTCTATAGACTAAATTTCCTAATATTCCTAAATTTTCTTAAACTCTAATTGGTTGTTGCTAGATTCCTGGAGGGATGTCCATGGCATTTATTGGCATGACACAAGCATTTGGAGAGATGGAGTTCCCAAGTGCCTATGCATGTCTCTTTTTTATTCTTCTATTTCTCCTTGGAATCACTACCCTGCCCGTGATGATCCAAATGCTCGTCAATTCTTTCTTTGAATGGAAACTTGTCCCACAGAGAGTMGGACGGGAAATTGTTGCAGGTATGAAGTAGAGCGGATTTCGTATGAGTGGGACACCGTTACCGCACGGTTACCGCACAGTTACCGGACCTGGCCTTCACAATTTTGGTGAACCAATGGGGCACTAAAATGTGGTTACAGTACGATTACGGTCACAGTACAGTACCGTCCGTTCCCCACTCATACGCAATACGCTATATTCCCTAGGGTGTAACTTAACAGAGTGTAATAGGTGTAAAATTCCATGACTTTCCTAAAMCTTGTATCATATACCTTTTCTAGGTATCATTTGTCTTGTGCTGTGTATTATCAACCTTGTGAATGTTCAGCCTACTGGTTTATACATACTAGAGCTGATAGATAACTCGAGTGGGTTTCCGTTGCTTGTACTTGGATTCTTTGAATGCATTGGTGTTTGCTACATCTATGGCATCGACAAGTAAGTTCATAACGTTAGATATTCGTCTCTCCGTCCTAACCATCAGTGGCGGATCTAGGGTGGTTCATTGGATGCACTGGAACTCCTTTAGTACCTCAACACATGTACATCGGCCAGTGCATTTGTTGCAGATTTAGGGTTTTTTCATCACCTAATGATGCCCCTTCCTCCTCCCAAAACCTGGTTCCGCCCTGCCACATATATGAAGCATTGCGCTTCCCTAGCAGCTTCTCTTGTCATTATTCAGTAAGTTCACTGTTRAACCATTACCATCATAACATTTTTTTGCCCAGGAAGCATGGGCTATAGCCGCTCAGTGCGGGAMTCCCTTAATCCAAAAATGAGGCGCTATCACTTACTATCGGACCCCGGCCATTGTCTATTTTCGATGATCAACGTTTAAAAGTAGTTATAAATCTGTCTGTGTTTACTGATCAGTTTTATCTTGCTTACAGGTTTTCTAAAGACATGTTTGTGATGACAGGACAGAAACTAAACTGGAAATGGAAATTCTGTTGGATGTTTGTATCACCGCTGATCATATTAGGGATCATTATTGGGTCTATCGTCAAAATGGTACAGCAAGGTGAAGTCACATATCAGGCCTGGAGCCGAGACAAGGTAAGTTATATTGGCCCTAGAAATAAATCTCAAAAATAATGTTCTTCGCGGTTCCCTRCGGCGTCTTGAGCTGTAACCGTGGCCTTGCATCGAATCGAGACAACCGTTGAGCGTGCGATGATAATGCTGTGAATCTAATAGTATWGGTGTGAGAGAAGGTTTCTATTATTGCCCCGCTCATTGYATCTCGCTTCGATGCAATGGCGTGGTGACCTTTCAAGATCAAGATGGCACAGGGATGCGTGGCGGAGACGATTGCATGTTTCAGCATTGGGCTTCCTTTACCAAACCAAGTTCCACAGWCAATGTYAACCAATGTCATACATTAAAATGATGAAGAGAGATGTGCTCTMCTATCAGTGTAAAAGACCACACAATACATATCTTTTTAAAATAAGGAAACTAAGCTTTGAATGATAACCATGACCTTTTGTTTTTTCAAGGGTCGYCTCATCACACTACCCTACCCCCCATGGGCRTCCTTTYTGTACTTCTTCCTCACACTGGTACCAGTAGCGTGTCTGGCATATCCTCTACTCAAAGCCTTCTTCCAAAAATTACTCAAATCAAATATATCTCAAGGAACATTGTTGCCATGTGGACTATGCAAAGCGATAACTGAARCATGTCGAGAGAAACTTGGAGAGAGATCTGGGACCTACGATCTTACGTCACCAAATAAYCTTGTTGGAGTCGATAACAATGCTTTTGAAATGAACGGTGTCCATAGAGACGACTTCTTTCAAAGCGAGGCAACTAGTACCACAAACGCTAATGATGGCACGCCATATTCACGTGACTCTAGTTTCCATAGTGACCACAGCAGAGAAATAGGCAATGGTTTTTCATAGGGATAGATGTGAGATTTGTATATATGTATAGACCCCTTGCAGTTCATGGGAATGCAGCTGCAACTGGAGGACAAAACAATGGATTCTAGTTCCCAAGAGGATAAAAATCTTTTGTTTTGTCCTCCAGATGAAGCTGCTTTGACGTCACATGCAAGTGGTCTATTTCATTGCAAGAGCTGTTATTTTGAAACTACTTTTAAAGTTAATGACACGGTCGCAAGCAACAAAAAACGAATATTCGTCGTGTGTTTGGAATAAAGGAACAGGATTTTGCAATGAAGACAAAAATTGAGTCTAAAACGTTGAAATAGACATATGATTGACAAGGTTTTTTTTAAAAAAAACTGTATATACTTAAAACCGTTATGAATTACAAATTTTTTTTTAAAAAAAAGAAAACAAATTTTAGATCTATAACAATAGGCTATCAGCTATCTGTAATTAGTGCAAAATTCGCTGAATTTAAATACAGCTACTTTTCGAGAAATTATTTTGCTTTCGATCCCAGACTCTTTTCAGATAAAAAAGGGAGAAAGACCGTGGATCCAGGGTCAGTCAGTCATCATATGTCGGAAGTCAAGTAACGTTTCTGCTCATCCCTTCCATTCACTATTGTCTCTATTTATTCTTCCAATGATCATTGTTCCACTTTTCTTGGTGGGGGAAGGAGGAGGGACGGGTATAGAGAGATACGGAGACTAATTTATGAAARAGAAAGGTGTGTCCGGAGTCTTCTCACATTTGCAGGACTATTGCTGGGATGCCTGTTCAAAAACACACAGGTAACCCGGGGTAAAGTTTGCCTTGAAAATATATGCCGGAGAATCAGTGAAATATAAATTAGTTTTTTTTTTGCCATGAAACATTCATGTCGTCTTGTTATTGTTTACAATCGTGGAAAGCAATCAACCAAAGGTACAGTTTCCAAATTTATCAGCTTGCTTAGTATTCTGTGCACGTACGCAGTTAGTAAAATTGATTAATTGTTTATTATGAGTAAACAGGACACATATTAAAACCATTTTATTTTGAAAAAAAGTGATAACACTGTCATCTGTTCACTGCGATATCAAAAATCCCGACAGCAATAAAACTGACAAAAAGAAAGACAAGGAAAACCAATTAATTTCACAGTTGGTGTCGCTTTCCAGAAAATGCCGGGGGATACACTAGTTTATTCCCTGAATAAATTCAGGACCTATTGGGGTTGCACTGGAAAAAATCGCGCGCTTTAAAGGTTGCAAATTTGATGTAAATATGATGTAAGTGTCCAAAATTCTGTAAATTTGATGTAAATGATTTCATATTTACATCAAATTTACAACCTTTAAAGCGCGCGATTTTTTCCAGTGTTGTGTCAAAAGGAGTGTTAATTGGAAGGAAGCAAAATACTGATACTGCTACAAAGAGGGTAAAAAGTGACAAAATTATATTTAAGTGAGAATTTTCAAGAGTTTGTAACCAATGTATTTCAGCAGATTGAATACCCACAGTGCTATTTGGTCGTGCATTCTCAATTTTCTCTCAACAACTTTTATGGATATTTCTGAAAAGACTGTTATCAACCTATATCCTCCAATAGAAGCTTTAAACTCATTCAACTATTTATCCTCTCATATCTGTGCATCTATCTAATCACATAATTTTAAAAACTTGAGGGATAAAATGAGGTCATTCACAAACAGAATCGTTTAAAGTAATCTATATCTTTTAAAATATGAGGATAACTGGAAAAGACATTATATTATTCTGATGAGTTAAAACGCAAACCAGATCTTCTTGCGTACATAACGTTCCGTGCAGCACCRAGCTGAAGCAGACGCCGCATTTCCAACCAAACAACTGTTGGCTATTGTTTTCCGTGCGTAAACACCGTACGATTCCAAAACAGAAGCGGTGACTTGCTGTGCAACTGAATTACACACCCAATAAGTATAATTGAATATTCAGAGAGTGTTCTGGACTGGATCATATCAATAAGTGAAACAATRTGTTTACAAAAACAGCGTGGATACCACTCGCAAACATAAGATATAATCTTTTACGAATTCTCAATAAAGAACCTCTGAAATTGAATAAAAATAAATTTATAAATATGGTTATGAAAATATAAATGTTTTCAGTCAAAGTTGAAAAATTTGCAAGACACGTTTATTGTTCAAATCGTGTGAGTAAAATTATTTCCAAACCTGGAAACGGATTTGTGTAAACAATATTTTAATATTTCAAGATTAAAAGTCTTGAAAATAAATATAGACAGATAGAACGATAAAAAAAACAGTGACGATGGAGATATCCTTAAGTCTGTTTGTTAAAAAAAACCCGAAAAATATAAATTAAAAACTGAAAAAACATTCCTACGCATTACAAAACGCAAACTTGGTTCCAGGAACTTTTTCCAAAGAATCGAGCACRTATTGACACGCCTTTCTTTTTATTCTTAATGTTTTGCCTTCATTTACTCGAGTCATTTCATATTTGATCCTTCTGTTTGTAGTTTGGCCATAATCGCAGACGTTTTAACCAAAAAGTTTCAATTAAAAATGCCCTTAGGGTGCATGCAATGTGTTTGAACCAGAAACTGGAACGGAAAACCACAATATATACGGTAAAATAACGCATAATAAATTATTGACTACAACATCAATCTATTCTAGATTCTTCTTCAGTTCAATCGTATGAAACCCCTCAGGCTATAAAAACACTTRAAACACAATGAAATACAGATCTTGCATGGTACTGGTGTTTATTCCTGGTCTCATAATATACATCCACGAATTACCCCATACATATCCACGAATAGGATCGCTTTATTTCCAAACAAAAATTGGATAATATCCTAGCAGAATATTTAAAATCATGGGCATTACTGGTAGAACTCTAGAAGATCGGGGTTTGCCTAGTGTGTGTGTGTGTGTGTGAGGGGGAGGGGGAGGGGGAGTAAAAGGGGGAAGGGAGAGGGTTAGCTTATTATTGGATACTCATTGTTTTATATTATTTGATTTACAGCAATATGCAGAAATTGTGATCATTTTGACTCATATTCCAAATATATGTAAAATATATCAGATATTAAGGGATATCAGATATTTTCATTGGTATAGATCATATTTTTATCATTGGTATATTAAATTTCYGATTCTATCATTAGCTGGCTTTACTGTTCGGTAAAATACTGACGTTTTTTTAGACACAAAGAAATTGAGCTAACAACGTTAAGAGTAAAGACCGTTGTTGGTACAGACCGTTGTGTGGAAGTGGGTGTGACGGTACCGATGTTTATCTCTTTGTGCTTACTCTAACAAAAGAAATTCATTCAATTCAAAACAACACTTGTGTCCATGACACATATAAAGAAGGAAAAATGCTCTCATACAAGACTTGAAGATAGCTATGAAATTACTACTTTTTTAAAAAATACTGATCATAACAATTATACTATATAACAATAATTATTCTTAAGGATATCAAGTGCTTTAACTAACGTTTCGTGCAGTTAGGCGTTGGCTTGCGGTCCAGTGAACAACAAAGTAATTACACGGTATTTTCCAGGCGTCTAAATACAATTCCAGAAAACCAAAATATGTCCAGATTCCCCACTGAGAGGAAAATTGAATCTGAGAACTTGATTTACACGCAGATGATTCTAAACGTAAACAAAACACCRGTGKTTTTATGGACACAATRTCYAGTTTTGAAAAGCAAAGCAAAGTTTATTTTTATCAGGAAAAGTTTYWAACTTTCAAAAGATTTTCTAGACTATTTTTTTAGCACAAATTTATGTTATTGTAGAGAAAAATACTTCTTTCACCGCCATTTTTTGCAAAGATGTTAATTCAGAAACAAGTACAAATACAAAATACGACATACACTATTACGTGTTCAAACTGCTATTTTAGGAAGTATCATTTGAAGAAAATAATCCTTCTTCTTCATAATTTTCACCATAGGACAAGATTTTTTAGCAAATTTTGGAAACGTAACGCAATGCTATTTATAAGGATGACTCAGAAAGCAGGTTATTGGCTCATCGAGGCAGCCCAGGGCTATTGGTAAACAAAATCATACGAGAAGCACATGATGGACAMGTAAAAACATATAACTAYACTAAAGAATCTAACGGTTTTAGATTTACCGAGAAAAATATRCGATTATTTCAAAACATTAAAACATAGCAAACGGCATCAAAAACTCCCAACTCTCTTTTATCTTTTTACACATTAACTGTCTCTGGAAAATAAAAAATCCACTTGACTTTTGGCACCGATTGACATTATAACATCMCCTACATTTAAATACTGCATCAGTTAACTGGAATGATAAGATAAGTTAAAATTGTAGATATAGTCCTGAAGATGAACTGATAAGTTCTAAAACGAACTTTTTTATCTATATTTTCTTTTGGCGATTGTAATGATTCAGTTAAAACTATAAATGTCAAACTATTTYATCATCCACTTCTCGGTTGCACACGCTAAATTGGTAAATTGTTTCATACTCGGTCGTTATAATGCTTGTAACATGCAATGCCATTTCGTATATTACAAAATGTAAATAGAACTTCTGCCATTTTCCTACTACTATGAGAGATACGAATTATGTATAAGATATTTCCAAACAATCGTAAAGTTATAATCTTTACACTGAAAAGAAACAAAACTATTATTCGGGTTTGTATGGTAGTACGTTGCATTTGKACCTGAAAGATAAGATTTCTTTTCTACTAATGCCTCTTACAAAGATAAATATCTGGAAAAGTCACTATCGCTTCGTTGAGATACCAGGAACACATGTTGTACCGCAATGGTATGGCTTTATTCCATTTGCCAATCAGAAAACGTCCTGGAATAAGTTTGGTTCARTAACAGATTTTGATCTCATTCCATCAAAGACAATATCATTTTAACTGTACACGAMTTCACGGTTATCGACGGAACATCAAAACGTTCCGGTGATGCCATATCAATGTGGTATATTCCTTCGTAAATTGCATTGAGTGAAGTAAAATATTCCATATCCTTTTCCGGATTTSATTTCATTTCTGTGTTTTGTTTGCGTTATTTCCTTACATTAATCTGTTAATTTTCCTAAAATGTCACATGAATACTTTTTACTTTAAATTGATGCGTTTTCCTTTATTGGGTAAGTTTTTAATACGTGAGATAATTTCAAGATCTGCCATAATTTGAGATGATGCCAAACTGACTCGCCATTAATAAAGCCCAAACGTAAATAATTGAAACAACAGCAAACTGGAAACGACTCAGTGTTATGGATATCTATCAAAATCTTATCCCAACAAAAGCACTGTTTTTTCTCACTTCCYTATTTTCAGTTCCCCCTCAATTTGAAGTAAAATAATTCTTTTTTCAATATATTGATGTTGTAATGGTGGAACTACCTCAATTTTCTGCATAGCATTTAGCATATTGAGAAGAAAAAAAAGAATCTGYTTAAATAGATTAATACAATTGAGTAACTGAGAATGATTTTTATTTGACCGAACGTGAAAAAGTGGCAAGCAAAAAGATGGTAATACACTCCAGATATCGCGCCTCTTRTGTTCGTTATCAATAAGTACGACCCAACAYAAATAGGCAGTTTTGTTGTCACTGTCAAGTGAAATTTTAGTCGATCGCTTTATTCCACTTTCATGGAACAYGGGATAAGCATTTGAATATAAAATTTGTGAACTCGAAGTATTGCTCATAAAGAAAATTGAAGACTTTATGCAAATTTCTCTAAAATGAAACTGGAAAACATTTTAAGTAGAGCTGTAGATCATTGATATACTATCATCGGTAGTTTTTGATGTTGATAATGTCACTTCAGGAAGGGCAAGCCAGGAAGTCCTTGTATTGACAGTCTTTAAAAATCAAGAGGGCCGAAAAAATTAACAAAAGAATAGCAATGTAGATAAGCGAGAGGGAGAGAGGAGAGAGTAAAGAAATAAAGTCATTTGGCTGTGCAATGAAAATCATTATTTTAGTTAGTCTTTCTTGGTAAAAAAGAAAAGGAAACAATCAGATTTAGAGTGTGATACCAACTATTAGTCTCAATAATCTTTCATGGTTTAAAAAAAACGACCCAATCAAAGGGGAATAAAAGACGAAAGATTTAAAAACACGAAAATAAAGAATCAGAAATGAAAATGGGGGAGTTAAATGGAATGGATGAACAAATGAATCATTTTCAGGAAATTGTGAATCGGCGGATGAAATACAGTAAAATGGAAAAATGAATGAAAGGTAGAGTGAATGAATAAAAGCATGAATTGCAATTTAAGTATTGATGAATTGAAGGATAAAAGGACGAAAAGAAATGAAAGAAATGGAGTAAGCTAGTGGATAAGAAGAATAAAGGAAGGAATATGTGAAAAATTAAAAAAGAGGTAAACAAATGAAATGGAGATTCGTTTGAAAAGATAAATAAGATAACAAGAATAGATTCATGGGAGAAGAATGAGGAAACACTCTTGACATCCTTCCAGCCCTACTAGACCAGACCATTTCATATCYAAGTGAATATAAGCTAACAACTTAAATCAATCACGACTAAACACTGATACAATAACTTTTTCCCACTTTTAGAACGACATTTAATCTTTTTCCTGAGTTCAATTTTATACTAAGAACTTATCGCCCGAGGTTTATCAGTAAGTCTCTGCATTTGACATTGAAAAGTCTTAAAACGCCTTGAATAAAAACATTTGGCCTCAGRSGAATCAATTGAGAATGATTCGTCCAGACAGAAACGATATAGTCCCCGCAAAACAATTCATCGATTTGATATCGAGTTTATGATATAAACACATTTGAARTTGCCTTTWCAGCTGCATTACGTGGGAAGAGATGGTTTTAGAATAATGTTTGTCGACAAAAACAAGCGTAATCGATAGATAAATATAGCAAAAACATGGAACAACGATAGCGCGAACAGATGATGATGATGATGATGATGATGATGACAAAAAGAGGAAATGTTACATTCGGCTGCTTTACGCGTAATCGATAGATGAATATAACAAAAACATAGAACAACGATAGCACGAATGGATGATGCCATGATGACAAAAAGGTYTAAAAATATACACAGCTTAAAATCCAGCCAGGGATTCCAAGTGCATGATATCAGCCTGCATGAATAGCACTTAAAACTGTCAAAAAATATTGATCGCTCTCTGTTTTGGAATTCTGACAGAATTTTAAAGAGATTGTTTTCAAGTGTACATCAAAGTCGATAAAGGAGAAAAATAACTCCGAGTTTTTTTGTTTTTTTTTCATATTGAATAAAACAATTGTAAATGTTTATTGCATTAATGTCCGAATTGAACCCTTTGGAAGGCTTTCTTTCGAGGGGCAAACACTCATACCTACTAATAACYTAATGGATTACTCTAGTATCAAACGGAGATTATACAGAAAGTCATTTGCAAAGTCTCYAGAGCATGTTTTTCGCATTAGAGCGGTAAAGTAATAGTCCTGGTGGGTATAAGTAGAACTGGAGTTTGCATGTTTTTAAAGTGTTAAAATATGATGCTATTTAACTTCCAACAGAAAAAAACTAGAAAAATGAGAATTAAATATATTGGGTAAAATTAGTTTACCTTATTTTGAATAATTTCAAAGTGAGGTGACATTTGTCCGAAATTKACCAGGGAATTGAATTACAACACCACCTCACAGCCCTTGTRTYTATATTTCTTTACAAATTGCTSTTCTTAGGAAAGGAAAGAGATTTATTAGAGGTTGGATAATTTGATTTTCAGGCTGAGTGTTCAAAAATACTGGACGGAGAAAATCTAAAATGAAACTCTCAGAGCTACATTCAGTGTTCAAAACTCAAACGCACTTTTGTTATAAATATACTTTCTTTAAATGGTAAACCTAACTAATATCTTTAGATTCTTTTGATAAAATATTGTGATATGTAGAGCTGCATTGATTCAGTTTAGGATCCATGACAATTTATCATTGTACACATTAATGGTCAATGTCTGCTAAATAAAGCTTGTAACCAATGCCATTTACAGATAATATAATGACATTTGACTGCAGCTGGTAATTTCAAAACATTGATGACGAACGGCGGACAAATGGTCCTTTATTAACTGAAGGAAATGCCAGTTAAAAACACTCAAAACGCAACAATACCCCTGTCCCAATTTCACAATAATTGTGTGTTTATAATCAGTATAATATGGCCACATCCTTTTTATAAATAATATTTCGAAAAAGTAATGATCTACCTTTCGAGGCAAATCTCAGTTAAAGGATAAGCATTTTTTAACTGTTTACGATATAAGCATGTTAACGCGGAGAGTACTTTTGAAATAAGCCCAATCGCCCAAGGGCTTTTGCATTTGCCTGGTAACTGGAAACGCTGCCTGGAAACGGAGGAGAATTAAGTGCTCGAAATGTCTTTGTAAACAAGAATTATCAATTGAATTTACCCTTTTTAGTATGTACACCTTTTAAATCTGTTAACTGTTCAATCKTATCAAAACTCCTTTACGCATGAAGCCGCTTAGCAACACTAGTTCTGTGCTAAGTATTTCCAGTTAGCTTACCTTTCAAACTGGCCGTTTTCTAACGCAAAACCCTTCATCTAAAAACACAAAAWWAAACATTTTAGAGCTTAATAAAAGATTTTTTAATATGGATACAATATTTTGTTTAAACTGAACAAAATTCTTGAAAACAACAGCAAATTTCAATGTTTTAAATGTATTGAAGAGGCGACAAAAAAGGCGGGAAACCGACGCGCGCGCAACACCAATGAACAAAGACGGCGCGAAAATTTTCGAAGYATATACAAAAAATGACTTAGTAGTATTAAGGTGAAGCTTATCCTAAATGATATAATTCTCAAATTTGAGTGAGAACACAAAGCTGCACAATTAAAATAATAAGTGTAGGTGAGGCTTTTGTTAATGTTGCTCTTCTTTCAATGAAATAATCAACAAGCGGCACACGTGTGTTTTCACACATTTGCAGTCTGCACAGCCTATTGATTTGATTTTGAGAATTGTATTTTGAAAAAGCGTTGTATATGTATTAATTGAAATGTATCAAATATGTACTAAAACGAACAACAGTGATAGATCTTAATCTGGAATATAGAGTGAATGTAAACCGAGGTTCGTAGTAAACTGAGAGCACTTAACTCTTTTCGAATTCAAATTAAAGAACTGAAATGCTACGCCAAATGCTGTCAACTAATGCAGTTTCAAGAGGTTTTTGCCTTCTATAAACCTCCAACGCGATATCATTATTTTGAGTGACCTCATGTTGCCAGGAAAAGTACTAAGCGACATACAGCTGCAAGGTTTAGTGTTTTGGTMAAAGCAATTCTACTTAGGGTTTTACCCCCAGTTGAGAYCAAAGCATTAGCTATSTTCAGTTGTATGAAAATTAACAGATAACATAAAAAGTAACAAGAAAATACTTTTAGTAGCCTTTTGAGGGGCTTAAAACCGATTCCATTGAAATTTGTCAGCTTAATGCTTAAGCTACGTAATGTAATTTTTGACAGGATGCCGTCTTKTCAATTTCAATCCAGCTYTTTCTTCCGTAGTAATCAAAAAATCCAGGAATTGRCGGGAGGTTTTTACGCATTCACAAAGGCAGYTTTAATGAAAACCGGCGTTCAATCGGAATAATATCACAGTAACACACAAACAGTTACGGAAATAACTTTAAAAAACATATTGGTTTGCGTGGAAAATAATCAATATAAAAAAACGTACAGTTTCAGWGCAAGGACAACTTTATAGAACACTTTAAAAACCATATTATCTGGAAAAAATTAAAATGTTCATTATTAACAAAATGCAAGTTTTTTTCCCAAATTAATGAARCTGAAAAGCTGCACTTCAAATATTCAGATGCATCAATAAAGGTTTGCGATTAATGGCCGTAACGCGCGACTTTGTCGGTAAACTTGTGGCAATATAAAGCGCGCGCCTGGAATATGATTCGAATCGACATAGTTATATAGACCAAATCATTTCGGCATATAAGCCGCAAAAACAGTATATCAAGAAAGCTTTTTACCACTAAATTATTGAGGGGATTACGAGTTAATTGAATGTTCCAGGGAATTTGAATTATCTTTGAGTCACTTAAGCTTATCGCTAAAGTAATCTACTGGAAATATGGTCTTTGAAATCCTGGCTGAAGAGTGTGATCTTTACAACTGTGGCGACAGCTTCAAAAGTGGCAAAAAAAGAAAAGTTGATTACGAGCTTATWRGGAYAACTTGTGAACTGTTGTTTAGTTACTAAAGMCTACAAGTTTTCTGTTTTTCGATGRTGGATCAATTATCAAAATGTCACCTGCTAARGCCATGGTACTTTGAAATACAGTTTGAATGTTGTAAAGTTCAAGTTCAACCTCATAAATCATTACCATACATTTAGTTAGATTAATGATTTGGAATTTCCTGCACAAGTTTTTCAGGTATTGAACTTTAAAGATAAAAAAGATTATTTCTGAATGGTTCTCTTTAATCTTTTTTTTTTTTTAAATAACTGACTCAATAATCGATGTCGTCAATATTTTTCGGCCTTAGCCAAGTTCAAAGTCAATTGACATGCTTTTGTTGTTATTGTACAACATGCAGTAATTGCGAGCAGGTTTCAGTTCAGACGCGAAACAGAAACACAGAGGCAGAAGTGACAAACTTCTCAGTCAAAATTCTAATTGTCGAGGCTCATTAAAGATAAAAAAATCAATAACAATAACCACGAACTGCCGTGTTTTGAACTGTTTCAAAGAAACAAAGACCTACTCGCTAACCCAATTTAATATATTCTAAGAGTAGTACACACACAAAAACAATTATAAAAAGCTTAGAGATTTTTCATTAAAATAAGACWTWGAAGAAACTATTCGTATTTTTGTCAATAAAAAAYCCTTGTTTACTTGTATTGTACTACCAACTTTGYTACCAGAAACCACGTGCGACAACAGTAGTAAAAGTAACTGGTGGTAGTCGAACGTAAACGTCAGTGATTTTTCGCGCCTTTTCTTCGGCGCTTTTTCGCGCCAAAATCACTCTGACGTCCATTCATTCAACACAACACGTGCTCTAGATAATTGAGCCTTTGTGCTTTGAAGAGCTTTAAAATTTACAACCTGGTTTGGGGCATCTTTGTAGGCACGTACGCTCATTCTTATCTGACATCTAAATATTTGTCCACGAGCGCGTTCATCCGTGCGGTGGGATTTTCATAACAGCAAAAATTAAAATGAAAGATGGATAAGTTTGGACGGATAACTAGCCGATATATTTTCCTGGACCACTTTCGTTAGTTTCGACGTTTTTTTATTTATAAAAAATCATTTTTTTATCTTTCGCATTTTTTATTTTTGACCCCACTGAAAGGATTCTATTAATGGTYTCTCATTAGTTSACGGACGCTMTAGGTTCAAAAGGGACCGACCTTTTTTGTTTAGAGCAGCRCCTTTGTCCTCGAAAACCTGGACATTTCTGTTTTTCCTTCGAGATTGTTTACGAATTCACCTTTAGCTACCTGGCACCAGAAGTCCGAATCAAGTCACATAAAAGTAAAGGCTAAACTAAACTGGGAATCTTCTATTTTTTAATCATTAATCAGACATTTTTATTCACAACATTTCTTTTAAAACATCCTTTTTTATCAATATCGTTCTAAATTGTATTCTTTTTATTTCGCTTACAGCGTTATTTTTGTTTGCTGGTATTTCCTGGCAAGCAACACTTCATTTCCATTTTCCAAACATTACGAAAAGCGACCATATGTTTTTTAATAGAAGGCTTAGTAACTCAAGCAAAAGAAAAAACGTAATGCTAATTTATTAGCGACAGATTGTCCAGATAACACCATTAATTTAGAGTCTTTTCCTTGGAAGACAACCTCTCATAGAAACCACATTGAATGGGGGTCCCTCTAGGAGGTTTATGCAAATTCACCTGTTAAATAAACAATTGCTGGCCTATCTAATGACCTCAAATACGACGGTCACTTTCAATGTGTTGAATTAAAAGGCGAGAATTTTGATAATAAACTTCGATTGGCCTTTTTGGAAAGTGATATGCACCCTGATTTTGCATTTCTGCGGTCCATGTAAGCCTCGAGCCGCCAATCTTTCATCAGAAAGTTCATGAATATTCATAGCACGTGAGAGTTCGACTTACATCACATCGATGTAAACATGCACAGACCAGTGCTGGTSCTAGTGTTTATAAATTTCGAGTCACACTCGCTCGCTAGTAATACTAGAGACACCGCGTTAGTCCATGCACTTGTACAATCTATGCTTGCAAGATGATATGTATACATGATAAACCAGTGGCTATGACGGAGTGGACTACAATTCGACGAACGGACGTCGAAAGTATCTACGCAATCAAAAGTTCGCCCGAAGAAGAATCAATAATCGAGAAAAGCATCGAGTCTCACAACCAACAAGTTGAAAAACCTCAACAGCACGGRAAAAAYACYAAAGGTAACAGAATAAGACGACACTCATCTTACGAGCCAAGCTTRGATGATATAAAAGAAGAGGGACACCACGACTGCCTTGAGGAAGAAGAGAAAGATTTAGCAGCAGTACATAGAGAACGAGCGTTCAACTCAGGGTCCTACAACAAACGGAAGAGTGAAGGACGGCAATTTCGAAAGAAAATGTTTGAAAAGACTATGTTTACGGGAAGACCAAGAGCGTTGACTTGTTAGCTTATTATACACGCTATCAAGAAATTGAAAACGTTACAGGATTTAGAGGTGTGAAGAAGCACAACTTTGATAATAGATGAAAGTAATTTGCAAAGACAACAAACTCACGTGGTTTCTCAATCCAAGGTACAGTGCGATGGCGGGAATACTCTTTCTTGGTATTTTTCCACGCATGTGATGAATTGAAAAGTAGACTTTTAGCTGCAAATAATTGTAGTTTTTCGTGAGATTCTGTTGTTTGAATACTCGCGTTTTCAAGTGCAGGCAAACACGATGGAAACTTTTCTCCTGCAAGGGTCATCCAGGATTTTTTTTTGAACTCGGCTCAAAGCCAAGTTTCTTGTTTGTGATCGGATCGCTTTTTATAGCTGAAAGCCTAGAAAAATAATTCGCCTCGCTACAGCACTAGAATTCCGCATTTCTTTAGTTGAAATTTCTCTATTTTTACACTTATTCGCCTTGAATGGCTTGCAGCAATCAATCATAGATTTTGTAGTTTTGTACGTTGAAGGCAATGTACTAATAAGTAAGTGAATCGTGCTTGTCAGCTATATCAAAACTGCACCAGTGTACATATCGAAGAGTAAATTTGGTCAATTATATTTATAATTCACAAAAAGTATAGAGATATTAACCTTAAACAGAATCAGCCTAACTGAATCTGTATAAACAAAGAATTAGATGTGTACATAGTACATACATATATAAAACAGGTTCAAAAAACAAAAACAAATCAAGGTTTCCTCTTTAAAAAAATAACTTTGGAATATTAAACGGGAATTTAGTAGGTTTCTGGCTCAAACAGATGAACTGTGTATATAAAACTAGTTATATTATTGATGAAATATGTCGTAATTTGACATGTATGGAAATTTAAAAAGAAAGT